GGAGGAATTTGGGCGTACGTTTCCTAAAATTGTGGCTTGTTAACGAGCACAACTTTAGGAAGTACTCGTGGTTTAATGCGCAATTTCTACTATCGGATGGGCGAAGTCTCTGGACTTTGACATCCAGAAACCTGAGATCAATTTCATTTTTGGATTGCAGGGACGTGCAGTTGTTTCAAAACAGCACAGTGCCACACCTCACATGGGGATGACAACAACGCACTGTCATGTGGACATCACAATTGCCCATGAAATGCTTCAGAACATCGCAGACCGTGGCGGTCCCCATCTTGTCAATAACCAGTCGTAGCCCTGCGAAGGTTGAAAACTGTAAATTATAATAATTATTACTAAAATACAAATAAAACAACAAGGGAGGTTTACCGTCGTCAACCTTCCCTTTCATGCATGAGTCGGTTATACACCTTGAAGAGCTGGGATGTCGGGCAGATGTTTGTGACTGCAGTTCCATCCAGATTCCGACCAGAAAGTGCGGCTATGAATATGGCATGGCGACCCTCCATCCAGATTCCGACTAGAAAGTGCAGGCATGAATATGGCAACCCCAGAATACCCTCCTCAACAAACATGGGCTTCAATTGGAATGGGGTGGAGAGATGATTCGCCACTTTGCTGAAAGTGTAATGCTATTTTATACGAGCAATCCACGCGTCGCTTATCGTGATAAAACTGCCTCATGGTGAGCATGTCTCGCGAGGGCGAGAAGCTTGCTGCTGCTGAAAATGTGCCACAAGGACTAAAGATTGTGCCACAAGGACCACATCACAACATACCAATAGATGGAGCCCGCCTGGGACTGCTAGAGGTGTCTGCTCTTACCAGCACCCCTAGCACCCACTCGGGCGATTCTTCTCTCAAAAAGAAAAAGAAAAAGAAAAAAAAACATATGCACGTTACATGGATCAGATATTGAAGCGATCAGAACAGGTATTTCATATGATCTATTTTTACTAATTTTTTAGCCAAAAGGTCAAAAAAGGAATACCTTTTTTTTTTTTTTTTTTTTTTTTGAACTACACTATGTTCTTCTCTCAACTTCCTTTTGCCTTCCACTACCTTCCTACCACGAAAGTTATATAGAATTTTAGCTACTCTTTCCTTTTTTTCTCCTTTTTTTTTAACCTTTTTCGAGACTGCTTCCTACCATTGTTGCCAGTGCATATTTCAGTCGAACGGGAGTCAGTCCTTTAAAAGCGCTGTTTTTCCCCCCGCCCCCCACCCAAAGCACTCCCCCCCCCCCCACCCCCCCCCAAAAAAAAAAAAAAAAAAAAGCCATTGGTGACGATGTGGATATGCCTGCCTGTCTAGTGGAGGGGTGTTCTACGTCGTAGAGGCCGTATTTGGAACTTTCGGGTACTGATTGCCGCCACCATAAGCAGTGTCAAATCGTTCGTCAAGGGCGTGGGCCCATGGGATCGAAGTGTGTCGCAGGTAGTGGGTGGAAGCCAAGTGCAGAATGGGTCATAATGACCCATGAACCCAGGTGAGGTAATGTAAGGAGCAGGACGTACACCACCAGCTCCAGCGAGGCTGTAATCTTCGGCGCCTTGGCATATTGGACCGGAATGGCAGGTCGTGCCAGGCGGAAAAGGGAAAAAATACAAAAAAAGCTCCCAGGTGCCTTGCCGGAAGGCGTTATTATGGGCGAGCAGCAGAAATTGGCATCAGGAAAAAGAGGCTTGGAATTGCTGGTAGTTTAAGAGTTGTTTCCTAAACGAGCACTGGGTGCGAATCTCATTTTTCCAGTGAACATCTTTTGTCTGGCCCTTAAACCAGTGCTAACCCCTATCCCTAAAAAAGTGCACAACTTTGCACATTCTGATGCCCGCAGGGAGGACCAGCAGTCGCAGCCACAGCTTTTCGCAAAATGTTGAGCACACCCACTTGGTTTTTTTTTTTGCGCCCATAATTTTTGACCAAAAATTTGAAGAAAATCTACATGATGGCCAGAAGTCTTTTGCACGGCAAAAACAAAAACAAAAAATTACGGCAGCAAAACAATGCGTTTTTCGCTCCGTGCTGCCTGCTGCCAGTAGGCCCACATCTTTTCAGT